TAAATAAATAATAAAAAATGTTATAGAAATAAATTATTAATAAAAAAAAAATCAAATAAATAAATTAAAGAGAACTCGAGGCTCGAGGAATATGCATATTAAAAAAAAAAATAAATAAAAATAAATAAATAAATAAATAATAAAAAATGTTATAGAAATAAATTATTAATTAAAAAAAAAATCAAAAAAAAGAAATAATAAATGCCAAATTTGAATTCATTATAATTCACAAACCGCGAGACTTGCGATCTCTTATAATTAAATAATAAAATTAACCAATTATCCATTTTAATCATATTGCTTAGTAAATCTATCTAAAAGGTTATAAAAGAAAGCAGGTGCTATTTATATAATTTTCAAGTTCTAATTAAGCTTTAGTCTTGAAAGTTAAAACATTAACATATCGAACAAAGTTATCTAACATGTAAGTATATAAAATAATATTACATATTTAACAATAATTATTCAAGTTCTAATTAAGCTTTAAACTTGAAAGTTAAATCATTAAACTATCAAATATATAGAACAAAATTATCTAATATATAAGTATATAAAATGACATAGTTATAATTTAAACATGTACATGTAAGCATATAGAGTTAGAGGTTGGAACTGATTTTATTTTTACAATTCGGTTTTATTTTCTTACCTTGAATTAAATCCAGTTTTAACCTGAATTTAAATAATTCGGTTTTGCGATTTTAATAAACTTGTAAAACCGAATCAATCCGAATTTGAAATAAACCGGTTTTTATAGTTGTAATAAACTTGTAAATTCGGGTTTGCAGTTGTAATAGCAGATAATACCGATACAGTACTGTATAAATTACATAGCTACAATAATAATGGAATTTTTAAAGCAATATAGTATTTAGCCATACAAGCGTTAATAGGCTGAAATTGGTCTTTGTCATATCATATTTCAATTAAGTATCTTCAGAACATTTCTTATTTAATCAATTGGGTATTATCAATCAATATAGTAATCAAGTTCTTGTTTAAATTTTTATTCATATTGATTTGAAGTTTTCTATAAATTAATAGGTCGAAGTTCAATTTTTAAATGGTGGAAAGCAGTTTAACCGGTAGTAAGTTCATTATTGTGATGAAAAAAAAATTCGAACTCATCTTTTTTTGTAATAGACTTGCTCTGATTTATTATCTACATTCGCTTCCAGCAAAATTATAGTAAGGATTACTTCAATTAATAGTAATACTATGTACTATCTCAGTAGTTTGCTAATCACATTTAGAGCACTCCTAGTTCTAATTTTAGCGATTATTTATTAGTCTAATTGGCACAAGTATTTAATATGAGCTGTTTACGTCTAATTTAGCTTCTTATCCATATTTATCTTTATAATTTATCCATTTCTAAATTATGCAAGTCATTATAGTATGGGGCATGAAATACAGCACCCCCACCCCTATTTTTAATATCTGCTTCAGCATTATGTATTATTAGGGTAAGCATTAGAAAATTGTAATAGACTGTTATGGTATGTTTTTTAAAGATGTATTTACACTTGACACTATATACATCTTAAAATCTTAATATAGTTATTTGTATATCTGATATTTATTATCAAAATTTAAAAAAAATTATATATAACTATTTTGAATTGGAATTGTTCACTATTTTCTAAAAGAAGCTTACATTTAGTTTAGCACGACAATATCGAGCTACTTATATACTAATTTTATAGTTCTTTAGATCTAAATATATCAAAATAATTACCATTTTTTTTAAAAAATAATACCTGATTAACCAAGTCTGGAGATAGTTGAGTACATTTTGCGGATATGTAATTACCAGCGGTTGAAAACAACCTCTCGCTTGGCACAGAAGTAGCGGGAATTGACAAATACTTCTGTGCAAGACATGATAGAACAGGAAACTCACTTTTTTTTGTATCCCACCACTTTAAAGGATCATGATCAATGTTAATCTGCCAAATTCTTATATAACGTAACATTTTATCCTTCTCCTAAGCTGTAGATTCACTACTACCCACTTCATTTTCTAAAGCTTTAAAAAAATCGTCATCATCTGAATAATCATAAAAAGTCGGTTGTTTTTGCATACACTTATCTCTGGGTTGGGGATCCTCTTTTATGGAATCATATGGATTTTGTAGTAGTTCGAGAGACTTTTCTCTTTCTTCAAATGTATCATCCCACTTAAAGTCTTTAAATCGGGGGTCCAAAATTGTTGTGATTCGAGCTAAATCTGATGGTGCAGACCATAATTCATCTAATGATAAGAAGATTGCTACTCGGACTTTTTGAAAAAAACCAACAGTATTAGCAGCCGGTAACAATTCGATTTGACTAAACTCATCTAAATTTATTTCATTTTTAGGATCTTTTGCTAGCTAATTGTTCTCCCTCTACCTTTTCCTCTTCCTCTTCTCTTGGTTATCCGCATTCTTTTCCGAAATTGACGATGGGCATATTGCCAATGCCATCAGGAACCACCAGATGGAATTTTATCATTATCACTAACTGAACTATCAGATTCTTCTTCATCACCATCTTCACATTGTTGTCCATATATTAAGTTAAGATATGTGTCATAGCTTTCTCCTTTTTTATGCTTAGGAGCAAATACTTTTTTTAATAATTCTACATAGGGGTAGACAAGGCTTAAAGTACAATACATAGCTCCGCATATTCAATGTGTTATTTTTTCAAATGGTGATAAAAGCTTTATTGCGTCTTGAAGAAATCTTATTTTAAAAAAAAGTTTAGAATTTGGTAATGGTTAATATAGATTCAATTTTTAGCCAGGGTAAAGTCATCTGTAACCATAGTCACATGATAAATTAGTAATAGGTTAGATGGCTTTAACCTGGTTAAAGCAAAATTTTCCAATAATAATAAGGGTTTCAAAATTAGAAAAAAAGTTGAATTTTAATAAAAAATTCAAATTTTTAGACAGTTAAAGTCGCCAGGTAAGACCGAGCAAAGTTAATTTTTCATTTTGCATTGGAATCTAAAAATTTAAGGTGGGTTAGTCATGTTATACGGTCTTGTAATCACTGACCTCTTCTGACCTGAAAATTCAGATTACGCATTACTCAATGACCTTTTAAATTTATATAATATCTAGCTTTTAGTATTTTAAATATAATCTGTAATTTGAATATTGTGTCGAAAGAGGTCAGTAATCATAAGACCGTGACATTTTACTAACACACCTGAAAATTGGGTTGGTTGGTCTAATTTTTTTTTTTTTTAATCTACTATAAATTAATAGAAATAAAATAATTTCACATATAAAGCTATGCAAAGTTGATTTTTTTTTCATTTTGTATAACAAAAAATCAGAAGATTGAGTTTAGTTATATTTTTTTTTTGTTGGTCCTATCAGAAATAAAGAAAGTTAAGGCTTCTATTGGATAACATAAGATAAAAAGTGGGGGAAAAAATAAATAGCAAAAATTGAATAATTGGCACAGTTGGGATTTTTAAAAAAATTAAAAAATAGAACAGTTAGATAATTCAAAACCAAAAAATTAATTTTGCACGGCCTAAGTTATAGTTGCAATCACGTGACTAAAATTATGATGCTAGCAGGGATGGATAAAATGGAATATATATAGCCAATCAAATCTTCAAAATTTGAAATTTGATTAGATACTTAAAATTTATTAATCATACCAGAATAAAATGGAATTTTATTACAGATGCATTCACCGTCCCTGGGTGCTAGTAATCTTCTGAGTGGCTTTAATAATAGTTATTATATAGGTTATAAAATAACTAAATTTGCATGGATTATATGGCCTTCGGACATGTAATGTTAACCTGTACAAATTTAGTTATTTATACAACCCATATAATAACTATAACTTACAGAACCTGATTTTTGAAACTCCTTGATATACAATTTCTTTAATCTTACTGCTTTTCATTATGAGATAAACATAGCCGATGCAATTTTTCACTCTCTTGTTGCGATATTCGGTCTGGCTTTGTTAACAATGTGGTAGAAACATGGAGCATTGAATTATGTAGTTCTAATATTCTTTTCCAGGCATAATACACCGAATTCCACCTGGTTTTTACATCTGTTAAAACATCAAGTGGGTTATAATCACTATAATCACCTAGCAATTGCTCAGAATTTTTTTGGGCTTCCCGAAGCCTTTGAGCTTGTTTTGGCAAGCAAACATTTTACATGACAATGCACTTGCTTGCACTGCTTTAGGCTTTGTAAAACTGATAGCTGTAAGGTATGCGCCATACAAGGCTGTCGTTTAACCTCAGATAAGTGTTGTTCACTTAATAATCGAATACTTTTAAGCATATTTGCTCCATTGTCAGTTGTAATGGCAAATGTTACATTTGATAAATTCCAATCATTAATAACCTGAGATAACTCAGCACAAATAACCTCGCCTGAATGTGGGTATGGGAGATGGTTACAAGATAAAAGTGCTTCACAGAACTCAAAGTTAGATGTTAACCATGTTGCTGTCATGCTGAGATACCCATGACCTGATTTTGCGGTCCACAAATCAGTAGTCAAATGAACAGCAACACAATTACTTAAAAGTGAACAAAGCTGCTCCTTGCTCCACAAAAATGAATCATAAATTAAGGCTTTAACTGTTTTGTTACATGGGATTCTATAACCAGGCTCGCAAGTAGGAAGGAGTTCACGAAAGGATGTGTTTTGTAGAATATATAACGGCTGAACAAATTTTATAATAAAGGAGACAAGTGCTTGTGTAATAAGTTCTTGCCGTTTTGGTGGACATGGAGGCACGACCTTTGAATAATCAGTTATTTTGACTTGGTCATGCCGGGGCTATAAAATATGATTAACCCAATTTTTAGTATAATACTTAAAAGCCCTATAAAAAAAGTTTGTTTAGTTATTGTAGGCATTGTCTAAAAAAATAGTGATATGCCGTGTACAGTACTATACATACTGTATACTAAAATTTTTGCCGATTACTTGTTCCCAGAAAAGAACTATACGTACAGTACATACTGTACACTAAAATTTTTCCGATATCATATAAATGCATATCACTAGTTGGAAAAGAGTTGATTTTTCAAATACTAATACGATAATGTACAATTTTTATACTGTGATGCAAAAAAAAATTTTTGGGTTGACAACATTAGGTATAAATATTGTACAGTATATGGTATGTTTGGAAAATCAACTCCATTCTGATTATTATTATTATTATTTTGAAAAACAGAACTTTAGAATTTTTTAGAACATTGCCAACAAAATCTAACAAAAATTTTTATAGGAAAGTATTCAAATTTATACAATTCGTATATACTTCATTATGCTCATCTAAAAATTCAAGGTAATTTTCTTTTGTAATTCTATGCTTGTCACGTAAATGGTTGATAAAGTTTGATGTATTTCCATTTCTTCGACTATATGGATAAGGTTTTTTCGTGTACCAGCTAGATCGGCTTCGCATACTTTACAATAAGCAACAAAAGGGTCATTTGAATCTGGGCGAAAAAAATAGGTTGTATGGCTACGATTGCTACGAGACTTAATGCTTGTCTCAGCAGAGGTGTTATAAATGGGCTTTCGTTTTTTCTGAACCAAACTATTAGCACTTGAAGCCGACGGTGTTGTTGATATTGATGGCACGGTTTCAGCTTCAGAATTATTTCCAGAAGATAAAGATAAGTTTTGTTCATTTTCTATTGTTATTATTTTTTCTAATTTCTACAAAATAAAGAAAAAATATTAAACCTTGGAAATCATTGTCTCTTTATAAATTAAAAGGTTATTAATGTAATATAATTTATTGACAGAATTAAAAAACCCCAGCAGATATTCATCATTGAAGTCGATTCAAATTTTTATTGGGGCAAATTGCCAACTTCGATTTACTGTCGGGGTATGTACATACGTATTGTACTTTATTAATTGGAAGATAATAAAGCCCAATTTGGCTTATTCCACCAGAATTTTCTATAATCTTTTTTAATCTAATTCTATTAAGACAATAGTCTCTGATTCAACTATTATCAACAGGTTTTTGATAAAGTATAAACGGCTTATATTCTTTTTTTTCACTCTAGCTCTAAATATAGCGGTCAGTAAAAGTTTCTTTGTTTTATTTGAATCACTTCTTTTTATGTTTTACTAATGGTATCTTTTTTTTTTTTTTATTCACTATAATGCTCTATCGAGATTCACACTAGCTATACAATAATAAGATATATGTACGTACGTATGTATGGTAATATGCATGCATTTTCTTTATTTCGTTTAGAGTGTGGAATATGCGACGCGCATACATATAGTTTATATACTTTTATGCATCATATATGCACATATGTATGTTAATGCATTTATTGTCAATTCCATGGAATAAACATTTTATCAGTTCAGTATGGTAAGTGTTTATTGTTAATTCCATGGAATAAACGCCTTGTCAGTATAAACTTTTTAAGTATAAACTTATAAAAACTAGATAACTGTGCGATGTCACTGCACAAAACCAGGTATCACGGGTTAATCAATGACTTTCGTCAAAGAAAAACCTAACCCGGATGGTAGGCACTAATAATTAGGCACCAATCGAACAAACTTAAAAAGGCAAGTATTTTACTATTGTACTATTACTTTATGTTTATTAAGGGTTTAATTTATTTAATTACAAGAGCGAAACTATCTAAACTAATTAACTAACTAACTAAGACTATATTATTACAATCACTTCGGCTATATACATACTTCTGGTCACATTACCTACATCATATATGGATCATACGATTCATTGTCTCTTATTAATTACTTCATACTTCTTACATATTTTATGTGCATATTCTATTGATCATTTCGATGATCACATAATTCCGATCGATCATGTGCATCACGTGCACAAGTTGTTTATCGATCGTTCGCTTATTACCTTATTTTCCATACATTTTTCCTGCATACTGTATTTCATCATGACACCAGGAACGTTGATTGTAAATAAAAGTGGACAAAACAAGTTAAAAACCACGTGCAATAATTCAAATCCACATATAAAAAAAAACCCCCCAACATAACAGCTTGTAAGTTAACTTATAAGAATATTTATATTTTCAGTTAGCGATAGTATTTAATTTTAATCACATATAATTATGCTTGAGCGATATATCATATGCATTCATTCAATAAGTTCATATATAATTACCAACAAAGAAATTTTTTATTTACAAGTCTAGAGCTAGGTGACGATGTAACACTGTGATATTTAAAAGCATTCGATGCATTATCCAATCATATACGATTTTTTGCAGACGCACATCATTTAAATTGCCATGTAACCATACACTCCATTGCATTACGTTCCTGGTAAGCTTTATTCTTAAAGTATTTAGCTCATTATAAAGAAAGTTCATGTAATTCAAAATGTACTTATGCCATATTGCCTCCTGATTCTGAGAATTAAAAAAAATTTTTTGTGAAATATTCACTTACATACATACTGCAGAATATACAGCATGTGCACACATGATACGCAAAAAATATGAACATTAGGACATATATGTACATTGCATATTCCAGTCTACTCTAATTTATCATCCATGCAGCTAAAATCTAAACCGGTTTTATTAATCCGATTGTTACAATTTATTAAATCTGATTTCCAAAATAGTCCGGTTTTATTAAATTCGATTTCTCGGGTTTATTTAAAAATTCGATAAATCTGGTTTTATTAAATTTGATTTTTCGGGTTTATTAAATTCGATAAATCCGGTTTTACTAAATCCGAATATTCGAATCGGGTTAAACCGGTTTTAAATTTGAAAGCAACAGATCGGTTCCAACCTCTATATAGAGTTTACGAGATTTTAGAGAGTTAAATTATTACAATACGATACAAAGTGTTAAGTAAATAAAATATAATGCCTAATGAATGATGAAAGTTTTCGTCACCAAAATGGCTTTGTCAGGCAATATTTAATTGACAAATTATAAATGATGAAGAATTATTATGATACAAAGTGTTAAGTATATAAAATATAATGCCTAATGAATGACAAAAGTTTTCGTTACCGAAATGGCTTCATCAGGCAATATTGAATTGACGAATTATAAATGACAAAGTATGAATGATGAAATTTGTGTTGAATAACAAAAATGATGAAACTTGTAACAAAGTATAGCAAATATAAGAAAAACTGAAGAAATTAGAAGTTATTCGAGTTGACATAGTCAACAGATCAAAAAGATGCTAAGCATTGTGATGCACATTATAGAACCATTAACTAGAACAAGCCCGGCTTGATAAACAATGGAGGTAAATAAAATTTGAATGACTTTCTACATATAGTAATCACTAACTTAAGATGGCAATGAGAATAAAAATAAATCTGTGGTTGGCCTTATGCCAACGATTGCTTACTCCAGGGTTGTTATTGAACTGGACTGGACTATTGGACTGAACCAGTTCAATTTGATTTAGTCTAGTCCATTAAACTAAATTGGACTGGACTATTATTGGACCAAAAAAGTCATGTAATATATATGTACATAATGGATTATGTTATATGAAGATAAGGTTTATTATAAGGTGACCCATATAAGCACTCTTAACTAGATAGTAATTGTTAACCTGTATAACGAAATTTAGCATGGCTTTAGCGGTTTGGTTAGTTATATTCATAAAATTCAAAATTTTGAGAACATTTGGATTTGGCCAATAATTCAAATCATGTAATGTGACTCGAATTATGAAATTTAATTCTTATGTGATCAAATTCAAAATTTTTATATTATCCAAAAACAATTGGTATCTTTGACCTATTTTATTGGCATAATCAGTCAACCAGGTTTTTATCTAGTTTTGAGTTTGTAATACAGGTCAGTTATCCAGAGAAGAAATTTTATACAGGCCTATCTTTATCTGTAATATAGTTTATAAGTTCATTTATTGTAT